TACCTGAAAGGAGGCTGTAGAGAGGTGGGGGTCGGTCTCTTCTCTCAAGTCACAGGCGACAGGACAAGAGGAAATGGCCTCAAGTTACACCAGGGGAGGTTCAGGCTGGATATTAGGAAAACTTTTTTCACTGAAAGGGTTCTCAGACATTGGAATGGGCTGCCCAGGGAGGTGGTTGAGGCACCATCCCTGGAGGTGTTCAAAAGACGGGTTGATGTAGTGCTGGGAGGTATGGTTTAGTGATGATGCTTCTTGTTTGTTGTGTGGGTGTCTATTTTTGTCAGTCAGGTTGACGGTTGGACGAGATGATCTTTGAGGTCCCTTCCAACCTAGAAGATTCTGTGATTCTGTGACTCTTCCTTCTGTATAGAGCTGCACTAGGAACATTAGAATTCCTAGTGGGTTTATGCGTTTTTTTGTTTTGTTTTTTTAATAAATCACCAAGCCGCAGTTCCCACTTGAAGGAGCGAATTTTGATAAGATCAGTGACATTAATCTTCTGCTCCTGAACTGCTGGTCAGAGCATAAAAAATGAGGAAAAAAAAAACAAGCCCATACTGCACACACATTCTTTTATCGTATCTCTTTGAACTGCAGCAATTTAAAAAACTAGACATAGGCACTATTTAATTTTCAGTGCTGCTTCCCCACCCGTCACAGTACGGCCGTTATCTGTCTGCAGTTACATCCCATGATATGCCCCCCTTGGAAAAGAAAACAAAGCCAAGTCTGAAATTCATCAAAGCCAACCTCCATCATCTCAGTCAAAGGAAGAAAGCAGCAGAAGGGTAAGATATATCTGTGATTAAACAGCTTAAAGATTCATGTTTATTTATTTACTTAAAATTAGTGACTTGGACACTTACGGAAACATCATTCTTCTTTCTGCTCATCCCCAACTGAAAAACAGCTGAGCTGAGCCTTTCTCAGGAAACAGGACTTTTCCAAACATGCCTATTTACAGTCTGCTTGAACCGTGTCTTGGGGGACGTAAAGCACCGTATTGAGGCTGCATTTGCCTTTGCGGCTAAACGTGACAATCTGTCCGTCTGCCCAGGGACAAAGGAGCTGAGCTTGGGACAAAACACAGACTTCATTTCTTTGGAGAAAGCATCTCAAAATTTTCCTCCCAAGTAAGCAAGAGAAAATTTGGCAGGGAGTTTTGTTCTCAGCCAACAACTAACAAAATCCCATGCTAAAAGTTGTCAGGAAGGACTTCCACGGATGGAAAAATTTCTGTGGGCTTGTTCTTTCCCTCCCCCTGAATCCATACTGTGGAGCACCGGGCTGAGAAAGAAATAAAATCAGAGAAGCCCCTACGTGTGATCCTGACTTTACTTAGAAGAGAATTAAGGCTTGAGACTCCAAGTGGCCGTGGCTGCAGAGAGGAATAAACACTCGAGCCTGAAGCACTTTCTGAGCATCAGCACAGCCCTTCGAGGCTTCAGTCCTACACATCTTCCTTTGAAGTGAAGAGCTTCAAGGCAACATCCCCCATCCAGCTGATGGTTTGACCCCGTGCTCACATCTCCCTTCCAGCATGAAAGAGTTTAAGGTATTTGTGGCTGTAGGAAAAAAAAAAAAAAAGCAGAGAGAAATGTCAGCAGTTCAGTGGAACCGACAGGGGCCCAGGGGAAAGGAGACAGTGGGCTGTGACCACACCGGGCACCCGCGGCGCTGCCCACCAGGCACCCAAAGGAAAGCAAGACAAGAACCAGGGCACCTCTGCCCCAGCATTTTAGTTCAAACAAAATCCAAGTTAACAAAGGAACTGGAAAGTTCCATTCACTAGAATGGCTTTTTTTAAATTAAAAAAAAAAAAAATTAAAAATTCATAGGATGCCTACATGGTATCTCTGACTATGTGAAATCCTGAAAAATGCAGATAATTTTGCTGGTTGCAACAAAAAGCCTTTGCTAAGCCATGTACTTGAGGAAGGCAAAGAGACACTAAACATCTTAGAACCCGGTATGCACGCAGCTCAACTGCTTCCAGCTGCAGGACTATCATTAAGCTTTATTGCTTATACTATTAATCCCTTTAGAACTATAAAACATACTCCAAGACACATTTTGAAAGACAAGGCTTTTAAAAAAACCTTTCACTGTTAGTCCCTATGGAAAACAGAACCTGGTTTTCAGTTCCAACACCACACTGAAGATATCCATAAACAAGGGGAAACCTGTTTAGAAAGCCAGAGGCTTTGCTTCAAGCCATCAGTTACGGTGAGTTCAGGTGTTGCTTGCAAAAACTAGGATTAAACCATCCCGATTGCTAGGAACTGTAAAACACTGCATTCCTTGAAGCACTGAATGTTAACTTCCTTCTTAACACTTCTCCTCCTGGAACAGCCACCTTGCCAGCCCCACTGCCTTTGTTGATGGCTATTTGTCACACTGGACAGAGGTTCCTGGAAGAAGTTGTGCTGGGAGCAACATCACTGATTTTTTTAATATATATATATTTTTGAACTCGCATTCACACTGTGGCTTTACAAAAACAAATGATCCAATCCAAATGATTTGCCTAGATGAAGAACAAGCAGCACTTAACATCAGCACTGAAAGCAGGGGCTCTTCTCTAACAAAAAGCAAAGGGCACTTTACAGTTTTCCAGCAGTGGTGAAGAAAATTCAGTAGTTAGTGATGCAAAACCCACCAAGAGATAAGGCTTGAGATTCCTTAATTATCAAACCACGCTTGTGTATTGCTGAGTCAGCTTACACTGCAGGAGGCTAAAATACAGAAGCTTTGAGGGGGGGGGGTTAGAGACAGGATCTGCAAATTCTGTGTCTGAGGTGAACCCTGATCCCAACAAACCCCCTCAGGTAAAGCCGCAGCCTGGAGCCCTATGGTCCCTGCAGCTCCTTCTCCAGGACCAGGGAGGGAGAGAACTACTGGAAAAAATGACCGAGTACACCCAGGCATTATGCAAAAGTTTAAGAAAGGGATGTTCTTCCAGGTGTGAGAGCAACTGCCTGCACAGCTGAAGAAAAGCTCATCCAATCCCGGCCACCTGACTTCTTAAAGTCAGTTATTTTCTCTAGGAAAAGAGTCACATTACTCCAGAGACACAAATGAAGGCGTTACACACTTAGGATTTCCAAGAAGGCTTCGAACTGGCTTTTCAACTACGTCCCCCCCTCCTTCTCCAATAAAACCGAACGCTCACTTGCTCACTCTGGCACAGTGATTGTATCTTGTAATACTCTGAGACCAACATATTATTTTTTTTTGTTGCTGCCATGACAACCCTGCTGCTAGGCCAGACCTAAAGCAGCAGCTGCCTTCTCCTCTGCCAGACTCTGACAAGCACAGCTCTTAACTTTTTCTTTTTTTTTCCCTTCTAAGTATGTTGCCTATACGCCAAGATTTTAGTAGCTTTAATTTAGAGATTTACAAACTACACCCGTTTTTCTGCCTCCCAGGAATCATCACCATCAAGGGGCAGGCAGCAGGAGGGACACAAACACAGATTCCTCTGGTAGCTGTAGGAGCTCACATGACTTGAAGCTCACTGGAAATCTCACCTCCAAGTCAATACGGGTATTAGCTGCTGGCACTGGTACACCATGCACAGCTTAATGAAAGGGTGGAAAATACAGCTAAAGCTAATGAAAGATTTTACAGGATACCAGGGTCATGCCCAAGAAAAATCTAAAACATTGTGCTCTGCATTTACCCTCTTAAAAAGAAAACCCAGTATTTTCAAAATGCTCGAAAACAGCATTCCTATGAAATGGTGTCTGTAAGAATAAACTAGACTGAGCATAACCCAGGCAAGGAAAAGGGCAAGAATTCTACATAAAGCCACCCGAGTTTTGCCACTGTAGCCTCCTAGTCAGAGAGGTAACTACTACATTTTGCAAACATTAGAATCATAGAATCATTCAGGTTGGAAGAGACCCTTGGGATCATCGAGTCCAACCATCTACCCAACTCTACAAAGTCCTCCCCTACACCATATCCCTCAGTACCGCATCTAAACGTCCCTTAAACACAGCCAGGGATGGTGACTCACCCCCCTCCCTGGGCAGCCTGTTCCAATGCCCTATCACTCTTTCGGTGAAAAATTCCTTCCTAATGTTCAGTCTAAACCTACCCTGTTGGAGCTTGAAGCCGGTCCCTCTCGTTCTGTCCCTAATTACCTGTGAGAAGAGACCAGCACCAACCTCTCTACAGTGTCCTTTCAAGTAGTTGTAGAGAGGGATGAGGTCTCCCCTCAGCCTCCTCTTCCTCATACTAAACAGTCCCAGCTCCTTCAGCCGCTCTTCATACGATTTGTTTTCCAGCCCCCTCACTAGTTTCGTTGCCCTCCTCTGCACTCGCTCCAGCACCTCGATATCTCTCTTGTATTGAGGTGCCCAGAACTGGTCACAATCCTCCAGGTGTGGCCTCACCAGTGCCGAGTACAGGGGCACAATCACCTCCCTACTTCTGCTGGTCACACTATTTTTGATTAGGTTCATATCCAGTGCATCACTTGGCCAAGATTTCAAATGCAACCTCGATGGCAGAGGAAGGGGTAGAAATGCCTTCACAGCTGAGATTTTTTTCATTCATTCATATTTTATACTGTCGTATTAAGTGTTAAAATGGACATGTGAGAAGTAAGCGAAGTGTACTGTGGTATCTTGAGGAGATCACTCATTTAATAAAAACACTCACTTGACAGTTTCTGACAACGCAATTATTACTGACCCACACACAGACTGAGCCTTGCAGCCACGTGGCTGTGTCTGAGGCACCGAGCACTGCGGCGGGTTATTAAGAAGGAAAACAAACCCCACGGTTCCACAGCGCATTTCCCCCCCAGTGTTGCCCCAAGCATTGTATGGGATCACCCCATAAGTGTTGAGCCCAGAAAACAGGTCTGCTACGAACTTGCAGCTACCCCAGCAAACCAGCACTTGGTTGACAGTAAGAAGAAACTAAAAGAGAAGATTATTAACTAAGTTTCTAACTAGTTATTAAGAGAAAGTAAGGCCAAAGTACAGCTCTTTTCAGTTCACAGCGTTTATCATACTCCTCTAATTACCCATCTTGGGTAATACTGACATTTCTATAAGTTGCATAAGGTACAAATCACCATCACCACAAACACAGCTTTTTCTGGAAAGCAGCCGAAATAATCAAAAGTATTTATCGCAAACCAGCTTCTCCCTTCTACCATTTACAAGGCGGCCAGTAAAAGTAAACACAGGTGAACAGAAAAACATTTGTGAAACACAAACTGGTTTAATTAAAACTGAAAAGGAAAACACGCTGCAGGAATAAAAATGCCAGATACATAGCAATCACTAATTACGAAGCTGTCGATGATCTTGATAAAGCATTTGGGAATTCACGACCAAGCATTCAGCCTTGAATTCCAAGGGAGAGGGAGGGGACAACCATGACCTTCCAAGTCCTTCAGCACCACCGCACAGAAAACTGTACTACTTGATATATTTCTCCATGAACTTTTTGTGAAATTCTGATCGCAGAGTATCATTCACGAATCTTTTGTCCTTTTTTGTTTCGTCTATCCCTTTGGCACAATTCTTGAAGACAACATCATCATCCCATCTGAAAAGAAAAGTTTTTAACTTCAGTAAGCTTGCATGAAAACAAGGTACAATTTACCAAAAAAATTATATATATATATATATATATGAAGTTTGTCTCTCCAATTTAAATGTACTAAGAACAACTAGTATTAGATCTTAATCTTTAAGAAAAAAAGTTCTATTTTTCTAATCCAAGCTATCTTTTAGAATGGATATCAGTAGATTAAAGGTTATTTTATCTCTACAGAAAATAACAACTATTTGAGCAGAGCAAAAAAAAATTTGAATCTAACAGCCCTAATTTTGATAAGCACAACGGTAATTGTAATAGCTGCAAACAAGAACTGTATTCACAAAAAGGCTGTATTTATCAGTTCTAGTTACACTAAAAAACTAGATAAACAAAACCTGCAAGTGAGCTAGATTTTAAAGGGAAGCAAAACATCAAATTTTTGGAGGAACTTTGGTCCTGTTACTTTTTGTATCATTAGGAACGAAGTCAGACAAACACAATTCTCAATCTCTTTTTTTTCTAAACACCAAGTAGCAGGAGGATTTGTTCAGAGAAACACACAAGACAACCACTAGGTGCACCCCTATCCCAGTTCTACATCATGCTGCTGCTCGTGACAAGGTCCAAGGAAGGAAATAAAACCCAAGGGCAGCGATGACATTTTCAGACAACAAGAGGGAGCGAGGGGACGGATGTGATGGTACAGAGGCCACGGTACCTCCTCTTCACTTTGAAGTTTGCTTGAGGCTGTGCTGGGCCAGTGAGGTTCAGCAGTGGGTTACCACTCAGAATGTTCTCCATCCGAATTCTCTCTTCTTCAGCCTTTTGCTCTTGTTCCTGAGAACCAGAAATGGATACGTTACTTTTCTGGGCCGTTCTTCTCAGCCAGTTGGTAGAGACAAACATGATTTAGCTGTGAGCACCCACACAGAGCGAGCTTTAATTCCTAGCTCAGACTTTTAAGAGCGTCTGACACTCACATATGAGTAGAATAAAGATAGAAGCAGAGACACTCTAAAGAGCTTAACATTGCTAATAAACTGTCAATCTCGAAACACTCATAGCTGCTCTACTTGCCTCTAATATTCCAATAAATATTCAGTTAAATTCTAGCTTTACCATTTACATATTTATTATATTAAAAATTGTATACAGATTAAAAGATTTTCTTTATCCTCATGAGAAAAGAGAGCACATTATACAATATTCATAAGGTGGAAGAAACGTTACAGCATGTTGAAACTTCTCTATCTTCAGCAATCTGCTTGGGTTTTACAACTACATCTTCCTTAGGGACCAATTAAAAAGAATATTGAGAAATTTAAGGTGAAACTGAGCAGGGGATGTCATAAGACAATTTAAGATTTCCAATACGAAGGAGCAGAAACAATTTCTTCTACTTGAACTGTCAAAAGCATGTAACTCAAGCCTAAGTGAAGCACTGCACTAAAGGCAACACACAGTAGATTTCACTGCCCACACTTTCCAAGCTGTATTAATAGATTTAGTGACTTAAATGTTCAAAGACTTCAAAATGAATACCTAAGACTCATTTTACATCTACATATTTTTCCACAACTTTTCAAATGTATTACAAGGATTGCTCTTTCATGAAAGTACCAGAAGGAAAAAAAAAAAAAAAAAATTCTTTAATTTGGGTGACTACCTAGGTCTCCCACTCCCTGCATGTTGAAGGATGATCTGAAGACATTCTACTTAAAAAGTGCACTGACGTCCCATTAGCACTGCAGGAGGCTCAAACCATGGCTTTTATAAATGATAGAAACTAAAGACAAAGAGATCACAAGGTTGGGTGTTGGTTGGCTTTTTTTTTTTTTCCGAACTGCAGAAAATTAATGGCTGAGGGCTGCTACAGGATCCCAAAAGAGGAAATGTTTTTCTTGATGATAGCACTTACAAGGTTTAAGTGCTAAACTTGAACACTGATGCTAACCAGAGTTCTCTAGCTTCAAACATTTAATCAATACTAAGTGATATATTACTAAAGCCATCCACAACTTAAAATGTTTTTTAATTGGACTGATCAGGTATGTAGACTACTCCTATAGAAAACCCCAACTCTCTTAAGAACAATACCAACTTAAGATACATATGAATAGTAGACAATTCAGGATCACTGGTAAATATTTTACCTTCCAAAATCTACCCAAGTTTAAGTTATGAAAAAACACCTGCCTTTATACCACTTCTCATAAACAAAATTTACAACCAGCTGCAATTAATTGCTGGTGCTATGGGAAAAGCTCCCCAAAAGGGCATATTGCTGAAGAGCACAGCACAGCCCTGTAATGCCCTTATTAAAACACATGCGTAGGCAAAACCTGCCCTTGCTGCTGTAGCCATGGAGCTTTAACACAAACCGCAGCAGCTAAAAGTTATTAACACAAACAAACTAAAGTTTTGCACTTTCAAACATAGCTCTAAATCCAACGTTTGCATTCCAACTTTGCATTTGTTATTACCACTCCAGTAAATAAGGAAACAGAGCAAAGATATTTGATAAGGAACAGCAGTTTCCCCATATTAAAATACAAATTCAAATTATACATTTCTTTCCTCTGTGGACTACCCACAAGAAATGCACGCAGCGTCTGTACAATGTGCCAACCTCTGATTTACTGTCTTCTTTCCCCATAATGTGGAGGAGCCAACAGCAGTGAAATGCCATTAACCACTGTCTGTGCCTTGTTCCACACCAGAACTCGGGCAGCTCTCAGACCACCAGACAGCACATGCATGCAAAGCACTAATTTAAACTAAGCAAAGTCTACAATACTGGTAGAAGCGAAAAAAATAATTCAGTACTGATTTCCAGGTACCTCCCGAGAGGAGATGATTCTGTTTAAGCCCATTAGGCAAATTTACAACAGGATGCAAACACGTGAAGTGTTCTCTGTGTTGTTCAAAATGAGGTGGGCTCTGCCTCATTAAATTTAATCTCTGATCCTCCATTAAAAGTGAGACTTTGGAAAAACAAAAGGTCTGAGATAAATCTTAAAAGCAAACAAGAATGCTACAAACCAAAAACTGATACTGGACTATACTCAAGAGAAGGTAGCCCCAGTAAGAGCATTTTGAGAAATCAATACTCCCCTGTTGCCAAACGCTTCTGCAGAGAGAACTTCTTCCAGGCTCTAGATATGCAAACAGACAGGGCAGTTTTCCATTTCAGAGCTGAACTCCAGGGGAACTCTCCTCAGGGCGGCACACGGAGTGTGGCACAGTCTCACCCTCACATTTCTGAGACACCAACCTCGGCCGTGATCCAAAGGTACTGAACCCGTGCACCACGCACCACTCTCTCTGGGGCACACACAAATATCTTACACTGCTTTTTTTATGATGCTTGAAAATCCATCCACACACCACAAATACCAAACCACAATGCACACCACACACAGTGTTTATTTGATGGTCAGAAGTCCACTGGAACCAGTCAGCAGCTTTTTTGGGGGGAGAATTACAGTTCTTCCCTCTCTTCCTCTGTTTCAGATTTAATCTCAACAGCTCCTGAAGAGCTGATTGTTCCAGCATCCTCTGCCATGGACGAAGAGAAGCTAAAAGCACTCAGTCACACAAATCACTAGAAGATACAGTCAATATTAAGAATCATTAAAAAAAATATACATACGGTAGAAACTACTCCAGTGTTCTTATTACACACAGATGCACGTTTAATTAGTCTATGATAAGATTTGAAAAAGGCATGTGAGGCATCATCCTAACTTTTATCTGCTTTACATTACCCATGTAATAACCTTCAGCCTCAATTAGCCTGACAGTTCACTTTCACTTTCTCAAAACAAAAGTGGTATCAGACCGAAGTGTCAAAATACAGTGATAGGAAAACAAAAAAGGAAATCAAAATTGAAATAACATTTTTAAGATGCATTACACTACAAGCAGTAGTGTAAGACTAAGAGCAGAATTTAGCTCCAGATTAAGACATCTACATCTAGATATTTGCCTGTAGGCATCTGAGCTCGCATCCCAGAAGAGATACACAGAATACAAGAGTCAGGATGGCTCTTCTGCTCACACTGAATTACACCCACGGGAGACCAACCATGCTCCAGGCTCTGGTGACTGCACCTCCCCTGCACTACCGTGGAAGCTGGGATACAAAACTCGTACATTGACCCCAACAACTTGGCATTTCAAGCTCAACTGAATTCTGTTTACTTTTTTTTTTTTTTAATTGCCAACAAAGAGCTACACTGACACGAGTCAACTACAATTCCAGAGGACTGGAGTGTAACAAAAATTGCACTGTAACGGAAAGAAATGGTGGGGGCAATCTTGCAAATTTCAAATGATTAGATTTTACTTTTGCACCTATTAAATTATTAACACCAATTATGAACACAACGCAAACAGAAGCTGTCAAATATTCTTTTATAGTGACAACAGTTACAGAAAACATCCATGAATCTTATTTTGAAAGCTTGATTTTCCCTATGGCCTGCCAGAGATGCTGCAGAGCCCCTGGGCCCTCGTGCGGCCGCTGGCTGTTTCCCAGCTCTGTCCCCAAACACAACTCTGCTGCCTTTCAGACCCGCACAGGCAGCACAACCAGAAGTAGTAACAAACTGAATAAGCTTATCTTTAATGACAAAGATCAACAGATTAGAGTCTGAAAGCAAAAACGGAACAGATCTGTTCTGGCACTGCCAGTTTTAGTCCCTTTAGAAAGAAGGCCTGGCACGCGTTGTAATTTATTTATGGAATACAGTTGCTCAAAGCTGTTCTAGGTTGGATGACATTTCAACATATTTGCTACAGGTTTCAGGAAGCAAGCTAATTCTGAAGACCAGTCTTGAAGGTTTTTTTCTGTTATTTAGCTTCACTAAAACCTCCCAAAGGAAGTATTAAAGACTATAAAACAAAAGGCAATTAGTACACTGAGTTTTCCAGCTTAGAGTCACGACAAGGAGGAAATACCAGGTGTAACTCACAGTGCTGTAACACTGACGTTTACACTTAAGCTAAGTTATACATTTTGGCCAGAGCTGTGGAATCCCTCATCTCCAGCCAAATGAGGTTTTCATTATGGCTCAGAATTTTCCACATAAATCTTCCATTGCCCACTCCTCCACAGAAAGCCGGGACGCTGCAGGCAATGGAGCATGGGTTGTATCAAACCAAACAGACCAGACAGAGCCTTCAGAGCTGTCTGAGCTTCACACCTCTGAGGCACCATCAAGCACAGCTGTTCACAAAATGAGCATCTCGGGTTGCTCCAAAGCTTACATTGTTCTTTTGTGTGGTGGAACAAAGGCTTATTAAGCTCAAACACTATGGATACAACAAACCCACAACAGAAGAAAAGCCTAAGGGGGAAAATAACTATTTCTCTATTCACTCCACCTTTCCTAAAATAACGCCTCTTTGCCTGCCCTTCCTTCTCCTAAGCCATTTTAGCAAAAAAAAAACCAAAACCCCACAACCAACTACAGATTGTTCCATCACTACAGACAGCAGTGTTGTGCTCGTAACGGAATCACAGAATGATATGGGGTTGGAGATCATCTAGTCCAACCCCCTGCTAAAGCAGGTCCACCTAGAGCAGGTCGCACAGGAACTTGTCCAGGTGGGCTTTGAACATCTCCAGAGATGGAGCTGCCCCCACCTCTGTGGGCAGCCTGTTCCAGTGCTCTGTGGCAGCGTTGAATGGCAGCACATTGCACCAACTATCTGCAGTGATGAATCACAAGTCAACCACGTTGTAACTGCTGTGTTAGAGGCTGAGGCAACAGACCAGGAATATTATGGTGTGTGGAAAAAGAGTGGACTGGCAGAGGGAGTCCCATACCCCGAAGAAGCAGATGGGAGACGCTGCTACATGGACTAGATCTCAAAACAAGCCTCCACCACACAACTGAACTCACCACGTGGCATCACAGCTGGGGGAAAAAAAGAAGCGGACAAAACTATATTAACCTTAACTAAACAATAATTCGTTATCTTCCTGTAAGAATAACAGTCCCTTGGCATATTTGTTTCTGACCGCAGAGGAAAGAAAAACAGTATTGTTACCATGGTTATTTTTTTTTTTTAGTATAGTTCCTACCCTTAGCACAGAGCAAGATTACTTTTACAGAAAGTGCTGAAATTCCTGAAATGACTCCATTGTCTTAAAGTTATCCTACTCAGTTCTTATAAGTGTTGAGCAGCTGAAGAAAAACCTGAAACGCTCACATTTCATTGAATGCTGAAAAAAACGATCACAAAGCCTAATTTAAATGCTAATTTTTGAATGACAAACTATGACAGGACTGCCTTTAACAGCAGGGAACAAAACTTAAAAATGCAGAGATCCACCCCAGTTATTTGATCCTATGCAAATTACTAACTCTGTGCAACACAGCGATTCAATTGATTGAAACTTCAAAACCTAAGAACACAGAGTAAACACAACTGCAGTGTCTATACGCAGATTTGTTGTCATTATACCCAAAAACTTTAAGTCTGTTCTCAGATAAGCATAAAATGACTGGATTTTAAAATAGCTTTGCTGGAACTGCGTGTGTACAGTCAGCTGCTCACTGGTTTGAGGTTTGTTTTTAATTATTTCAATTTACCTTTTAAGGAAGTGCTTGAAAATTGAAAATCAAGAGCATCGTAATGCTGAGTTTGGAACACTGAAATGTTTCCATGAAACCTATCTGTGGATAGTTCCCATAGATGGCAGACTTAGAGCTTAGTTTCAGACAGACCCAGAATTATTCCACAGAAATGGCTTTCAAAACTTAAATTTCCTGGTCAGCTTAGTGTCTACTAGAGACAACCTGAGAGATTAAAATTGTGGAGGGTGTGAAAAAAGTCAGGACTCCCCCTGTGCTCAATCAGCGTTTAGAAACATTTGTAGTGTTCATTCAATGTTTCTACAGAACCCAAGGGAATTTTAGCATTTTGAGAAGTTAACAAGCTTTGACAGCAATTTCTTATTTGGTTGACAAACTACTTGCTGCACAGATTAAAGGGAAGTATCAGTGTGAAGGAAGTTAGAACCTCTTAATACTAATATTTGTCAATAGTAGATTTAGAGGATTTCTATGGAAATTGGTATTATCACATAAGGGGAGTTACAGAGAGCACAATGATTTGAAAAAAAAACCCCAGATTCTCATCTTTTAACTGCTGTCTCACTAGAGATTCATTTAAAAAATGAATTTTAAAAAGAGGAGTCTTCCTTTCACAGCAACGTGAATACATCAAAGCGATGAGTGAAAACAGTTAACAAAAATACATGAAGTCTCAGAAATAATTGGACTAGCATTTTAATAAATCAAAGTAACTAAAGTATCGGGGGAAAAAAATTACATACGGCACACATTTGGGATATATTACTGTATTTTACCCACTTCATCTGGTTAAAACCCTGGTATGTTTCAAGAAGACAGAGAGACATGTTCATCTGTCTGTGTAACAACAAAGATATTTAAGAAGAAAAGCCAGGAGGCAGAAGAAGAAACTGCAGTTTCCCTTCGCCTTGCCTCTGGCTCACCCCTGCTCACCAGGATGGACAGCAGCGTTTCAGCAGATAAACTGTCCCTGGATGTGGATTAGGACTAATAGCGACTACACAACTTAGATTTTACATGAGATGTTATCCTGAAGTCAGCTGGATAACTAATAAAAGGTTACTTACAAAATTTGGTTGAAACTGTGGTTTGCAATACACATTAATATGAAATCCCGCATATCTGAAGGGAAAAAGTACTTATATAAAATGGCTACAAAATGGTTTGCCAGTAACATCTTATTTCAAAGCCATGGAAAACAAGGCATAATCTAAACAGATTCCACCCCTAAAGCTAATATACATAAGTGTTCTTTCCTAAGGAGACCCTTCCTCCCAAAGACTTTTTCCAAGATTGTGCCCCACCTTGGTTTTTACTTTTTCCATCAGTATAGTCTTAGTTTCCTACTCTCAAAAAAACCCAAGAAAATAAAATTCGAAGTACCTGTAGAGCACCCACTATCTACTGAAGATCCATGAAAGTAAAAAATAGTACCAGTTAAGAGATAGCAAAAGAGATATACTAAACACTTCATAGCTTTTAGCACCCTCTAGTGACAAAATAAGAATTTCATAGAGATTTTAACATTCCTGCTTCCTTCACAGCAACAGAAAAGCAACCGCTTGGTTGCCTGTGCTGCAATTTACTACCCTTGTTTTCCTAATGAGTTTTCTACACTGAAATGTGACAGTGTAACTATACATGTGCTGTTTAATCTAGATGTACAATTTCAACTATCAGGCAACGTGAAAAATCCACACAGATCTAAGCTTTCATTTTAAGCACTGTACAAGAACTCTTTCCTACACATCACTACACTTAATTTGTAGTTTAGTACATTTCACACAGGAATACATGGAAGAATTGTTGCCAGCGTTTTTCACCACGTTATTCCTGCAGAACACAATTTCATTCCTGTGTGATGTGCTTCAAATGTCTAGATAAAGACACGAGACACTTTCAGATGCACTTTAATGTAAAAAAACCACTCATAGGCCAGATGGAGAATCAAGTAGCAACAGTCTTCTACAGCAAAATTTCACAGCACGGTACAGCTTTTAGCTTTCCAAAGTACTTAACTCCAAAATCACAGAGCTCACTGGTTTTACAGGCCTTGTTGATTCTAAAGAGAAACTTCTATACCGTTACCCTAGAGTGGTCAAGCACTACAGCATTTACAGCATCATTCTCTCCTAGCTGTTCTGTCTGCCAGACACTCCGCCCTGTTCACTGCCAGCTGACTCTACTGGAGAGCGTTTGTGAAACACATGAAACTGTAAGGATGCTTGTTAAGCTCTGATAATGTTATTCGTAGAGCAGAGGCATCACAACATTTAGCTGTCAAAGCAGTAAAGACAAGGATCAGCATTTAATATCTTTATTTCGTGTGTTCTAAAACCACCTTATACAAAGATGACAAGGCTGGATTTTTTTGTGCTTGCTTTTTTTTTTTTTTACACTAATGTAGAAACTATGTATAACAACACACAAAAGTACTCAAACTGAAGTATGAAACATTTTTCAAAAGCACTAAAATGATTTAAGCCCTACTTAAAAAAAGAAAGTGCTTACTAAAAGCAGAATAAGGAATGCCAGCACTTCCCTTGCACCACCAGAGGTGGAATGATTCAGTAACGCAGACGAAATACCTGGACTCCAAACCCTGTTGCAACACAATGTTAGAGCCAGTATGGTTCATCCTAAATCCTGATCAGTTTGACAACAGACTATTCCCAAAAACAGTCCCCAGAAGAAGTCCATTCACCAACCAGTGACTTAACTAACACGCTCCTCCCCAATAATCTCTCTTACACCAAGGAGGTGTAGGAGCCAACGACACAGGATTTTATCCCACTCACAGGAAAAGTCTCTACAGGGACTTCCCTCCTTTTTCAAGGGCAGAACATGGTGTTTCTGTTTGGCGATAGAGAGATTATAGGGATATACAATGGCTACAAGAAGAACAAATCCATCAGACTCTACTTGAGAAGAGTTTTGAAGGGCACGCTACTTCGTTTACCAGTTCTCACTCATCCTAAGTGCTTTAGGCACACTGGTTTTAATAAACACCAGTTTGCAATAATAAAAGATGATGGTGAGATTTTACCTTTCGAGCCTGTTCCTCAGCTCGTTCTTTCTTGATTTTTTCCAGCTCAGCCAGAAGAGCTGCAGTGTCATCATCATCACTGTCTTCCAAGTCATCATCTTCATCATCTTCCTAACAGCAACAAATGGAAACAAAACACAGTTTATCCATTTCATTTAATAAAAACAGTCCTGGTCTGCTCACCTAAAGCTCCAATTTACCGCTGGCTGATTTTGTACTTGGGTGCTTGTATCAGCAGCAAATACAATACAAATGGTTTATTTGCTGTTGTACAGTAAAGTTGAGACAAAATCATGTTTTTGCTTTTTTGGATGCCTGCAATTAATTTTTTATAATTCAAATTATAATTAAAATGCTGTGTAGCTGACACATACTAGAGAATGACTGTCCTCAGTCCCTCTCCAACCATTGTAACATAAGTGATTATACCTGTGTGCCTGAATACCCCATCCAATATTGTTGGGACCAAATATAAGAGGATTATAAAGCCCTTAGATTACTGTCAAGCCTCAGACCTAACTCCTAGACATTGGCATGAGGAGTCAAGAGGAAGAATCCACTGCTCATGCAATGGGCATTCTAGGGGAATTCTAACCCAGTGGTTGACCGAGTCTAAAAAGTCACTTATTCCCAATACTTTAAGTGGTATTTTCAGTTCCCTATTTTTTTTGTGAGCTTTTCAAGAATACCATCACAGCGGACCAGAATCCTCTGAACTTCCACCACAGCAGAGTAACTGTAAAAGGAAGATTTGCTGGAACCTGTCTTAAATCTTTAGCAAGTATGCATTTATTAACACCAAAATCCCGAAGGCAGGACAGTGAAAGGAAATAAGAGAGAAAAGAGATACATACATCAGTCAGTGGATCATCAGCATCAAGATTTGCTGCAGGAATCTGGTCTAGGCGAGGCTTCTTAGACACAGAAGATGATGTTGTGTGTTCTATGGCATAAGATTTTAATAAGAAAAAAAAAAGATAATTAATAAATCCATTTAACAGCATCTAATGTGAGAAAGCAGAAATCTTCACAAAGATTACATTACAGTAAGAGATATGTACAGCTTATGCTTACTTTTTCCTCCCTTATCAATCTTAATGTCCATGCTAATACTCCCATTTAGGTATCCCTCAAGGGAAGCCACAACATCCCCAAACTTACAATTTGACCTAAAAAAGTTTTTTTGAAGTCATTCTTCAAGAAGAAAGAACAGTGGGAGAAAAATATGTGGAGAAATATCCTTATTCTGTGTATCCAGTTAGAGGGTTCCCATTGGAGACCACCCCAAAGCATTACTGTTGGCTAGTCTGGTTCAAACCACTGTGAACTTGAAAGCCCCACAATACCTCTGCACATTTCACATCTAAACCCTGAAGTACCTAAATTCTGTCAAGTTTAATATTATAATTGAGTATTTCTCAAAAAGCACACCTTGGATTAATTTTAATTATCACTATATCTGAACAGAATCCCAGATTCATTGTTAGGCTGGTGCTGCAACACTAAAGGATGAATCATTCCCCTTCCCGTCTCGCTTGCCCAAGTTCAGAAAAAGCCCTTTATTGGCTGCACATACTTGTTGCCAATTCATTACAATCATATCATACCAACTGGCCTGCATGAGGGCATATGCTTTTCTACTGCCTGGCCCAGATTTTTTGCTAGCATGAAGCCAGCACGAAGCCAGCAGACATTCCCTTGCAGGTCAACAGCTCTGAACTATGAGACCAATACCCTAAGTTCTGCTCTCACGACATGCTGTCTGCAGCCTGAAAACTTCTTACAACATCAAGTTTTGTGTTTCGTGCGAGAGCAATGCCATGCAAAGGGATTAGGGTCTTTTTTTTTTTTTTTTTTTACCTCTGTTTGGTCTGTCTCTATTCTTTTCTCTTGCAGCAACCCGTTCTCTCTCCTCCAGCTCCCTTCTGAAATCACGGTTACGCACCTCTTCAGGAGCATCCTGAGTGGTCTGTCTAAAACAACATGAGAGGAAGGGAAAAAAGCTGAAGTTGACAGTCTGCAGCTGGGAGCAATTTTTTCAAGGAGGCAAATAAATCCTGGGGTGAACAGGTAGGTGTAGAGAATAAGAACTGGGCACCATGTAGACATAAGTTTCCCCATCAACTCCCTTCTCCATATATACTACACACACACACGCTCCTTCCAGTGGCCCTCAAACAAATTAAAAGACCTTACATAAATTCCTACAAAAACAGAGCAACCACATCTACCTCTTGTAGCTATGTCTAAGTCTCCTTTCCCCCAGCAACCCAAGCCCAGTGTCCTAGCAGACATCCACCAGCATTGTAGTCAACTTCCCTCACCATTTTCTCATCCCAAATTGTTCCTGCAAACACAGTCTCTAAGGCTTACAGGTAAGACCAAGACGAGAACATACTTTTTATAAACCTTTTCCCAAATCTTTTCCCCTCCAAGAGACATTGGAGACAATCTCCCATGACCATAAAATAAAAAAAAAAGGTGGGAGAACAGGCAAAACACTAACTTTAGTGAAACATATTGCAAATACATGTTTTTCTAACACATGCTGGCCAAAAGCAACAGACTATTTATATTCGAGTCACAGTAAGTTCCACCTAGAGAGCACTGAGTTTTCTGCGGAAATCTTGAAAAGACCTAATGAATAAAGCCAAGCAGCAATTCCTTTCACCTTTCTGTGAACCCAGTGCTGGAAATAAGAGTGCCTGGAAGAAACCCAGACTTGAGCCATTATAAACACATTGTGTGCACAGCCTGTCTTTATGATGAAGTATTTCATTTGCTTTTGTAATTAAAAACCTGAACTTGGAATCCCTGATATAGCTGCAAAATCCCCCCAAACCCTGTGTCATTCAAGTGACCATGAGTGGAAATGAAACACTGAACTTTTCCTGCAACGATGTGGTCCTGGCAATTTAACAAAGACAACTTTGTATTAGGTATTTGGGAGAAAGAAGACACTTAATGCCCCCTCCGTATCTCTCTCTCACACACATGGAGGTATTTATATTCCTGTACATATTTGTCCCCACACACTTCTTTCAAAGCAACAGACAGGTGTTCCAAACCCCATTTTGTTTAAAGAAAGAAACCACCAGCAATTTTCCCATAACAACAAAATGCATTTGATAGCACTTTTTGTGCTGTTGATTTTGGTATTCTCCAAAACGCTCTGACTTCCTTAACCATATACATTCTTCAAAACCAAAGGGGCAGGAAGGAAGAGCTGAATGGGTAAGCTTCTGCACAAATACATCAGTGACAAAAGTAACCTCACTTTTAGGCTGAGATATTTAATATAAATTTTAAGTATCCGTATCACATTGACTCCAGATTGCATTTAATCTTTCAAAACGATAATGAAGATTTATTATGCATTTCAAACAGAGAGAAATATTCCTAAGATCCCATTATCTTTCTCACTGATTAGAGCAATGTCCTCTCCCAGGACATGCATGAACCACCTGCCGTGTTCAACACCAGCTCTTCCAACACGTACTGCTGCCCGAGTGCTATTCCATGATTTCCCTGCCTCCTCTTAATGTCCTTCCCCAGTGGTCCTGATGTATTTTTCCTGCTTTGAAGATGTGTTCAAATTCACTCCTCTCATGCCATCTTGCTCTGGCAGTGACAGCACCCTCCATGGCTCAGTCAGCTCCTGCTGTTCCCAATGACAACTTTCTTTCCACTCCACTGCCTGAAATGCTTGGTCTCCGAAGCTCACCTTCTTCTGACAATTCACTTCCATAAGCAGTAGTAATAACTACCACTAAAATTAAACCTCTCCAATTACTTGCAATGCATTTGATCTCTTAAGTTTGCTTTTGAGACTTACACTTTCAGCCCACTCCTTCAGCACCACTGCACAATCTCTGGTGTCTGCTCAGTGTCAAGCACATCAACATCTACTGTGAAAAATTGCAGAGTATCACCCATAATGAAAAAATCATTCCCAGCCTGTTTCGAAGTAAGACCAAAAAAACCCAGTACTAACCTGTATTTGATTTTAGTATGAGAAGGAAGGTCTCTGCTGGAATACTGTTTGGATAGCTGACTTAAGTCTCCTTCACCTTTTCCTCTTCCTCCTCTTGCAGGCTCGAACGTTGGCCTTGCTGCTGTCGTCATTTTAAACTACTACGGAATCAAAGACAAAAAAATAGCTGTTACTACAAGTTACAGTGAAAGATGTTCACCTGAAGCTACTTTCTTCCTGGAATTGTAGTGGCAATGTCAAGTCCCACTACACAACACCAGCTATCACTTGCCAAACAATCCTCAAAATGGGAGGAGCTTTTTATTTAAAGACTTGACAGAATCTATTTAGATTTTCAAATGAAAGTCTATTCTAACACAGAATCACATGGGGTTGGAAGGGATCTTTGGAGATCATCTAGTCCAACCCCCCTGCCAAAGCAGGTCCACCTAGAGCAGGTTAACATGTTGGAAAGATGATATGCAGCCTCTAACGGGAATGTGAAGCTATGTTTAAAGTAAATAAAAGCAGCCAGGAGCTGGTCTCCTGTCCATAAGGCAAGTGGTAGAGTCTTGCAAGTAAACCCCTTTCCCTCCTGAAAAATGACAGCCAAAACCAACTGCCTACTGGGAATGACCCCTCTGTTATTCCCCAAATTGTATGTAGGTACCATCACCAGAAACGCTGGCTGACACAGGCCATACCATGCCTAGAACAGTACTGAAAATTAAATACTGATGAAGACCACACAGTTTGCTCCAGCCCTGTTCAGTTCTCTGACACAGCACTGTCATCAATACTGCAGCGCAGCCCTTTGGGACTGACCTGCGCAGAGCTCCAGCTGGCCAGCAAAACCTTCTGAAGGGTTAGGGTTAATGTTTCCCCGGCAGCACAAGACTGACAGCTTTACCCTTGTGTAAACAAAGTGCAATTGAAAAAGTTTAGACAAAGGAAGAAATTTTCACCAGCTCTCAGTTAGAAACTGCATACCACCAGCATGTCCCAAAAATGAAATAGCTGATGTCCAAAATTGCTACAATCAAGTCTTCTGGGGCAAAGAATTAGACTCCAACCAGCCTCAGCCACGCGGACCCCTGTCAGAATGCACTGCGCTCAGGAAGGAGCTGGAGATCCTGCAATCCCAAACCAACACGCCAAGAATTTGTCAACGAACATCAAAAAATCCTGCATGATCAAACAGCGCCATCTTAAACCTGTTATCTGAAACTATGCTCCTTCCTGCCTCACCAAGACACATGTATCCATTAACCACAAACTAAAGATACATAAGACACAGGAGAGAGACGTCTGCAGAGATACATAAAGGTACCAGTCCTACCAACCAGAAGCTTGGATGTTAAAGGACGACAAGAAAACATTTTAAAGCATATTAAAATGCACAGGAAAAAATATATTGTTTTCATATGCTTCTGTGATATCACAAATGAAATCGATCGATTTATGCTCTGCTTGCACTGTTTGTTATTGTTTCACTTTTAATGAGATCACAAAGCATATGATTTCAGTGTTAAAATCATAAAATAGATCGGTTGCTTACAGTAACATCCCACCAGACAGAACACAGTTACTGCCACTGAACTACTACTCAGGAAACAGAGTTAACAGATAGAAACACTTTTAAAAAGAATTAGGACAGTAATTAGCCTTGGCTCAGTGACGGAGGATTGCTGATGCTTTTCAGTGATGCTGTGCAAGTCAGCTGGAGCTCAGCAGGGCATTTCTGCTCTGTCTTGGCATCACCTCTGTCAGACTCATGATCCAAGAACTCCACTTGCTCTCAGAACTCATCTGCGCTAATTATATCTAACAGGGGGAGGGGGATCCATGAATTCAGGTGAAGAACCAGGTCCAATGCAGTTGCGTAGTTTCATGAAGCATTAACAAAATCCCTGGAAACTGTCACTGTGTCTTTCTTAAGCCAATATAAAACTTGGATTCGAGTATCAGGACCCAAATTCAATCTGAAAGCACTCAGGGACTCTCACACCGACCTCCAAGTTTCAGAAACACAGCCCTGGGGCAGCCTTTTTAGCACTACACAAAGACAGGGGTTATTAGCCACGAGAGAGTGACTGGGCTCGGCCTGGAGCTGGGCTCCCCGGCCACGCAGCGCTGCACATCCCCGCTGGACCCCTCCCGATCCCCTCCAGAGGGTAACCCCCGGCCCCGAGCACCGGGCCCGGCCCAGCCAGCACCCGCGGAAACACGGGCCGGGAGCGGGGCTGGAGCTCCGCCGCAGCTCTCCCCTCCCACCAGCCGGCTCCTCACCACCAGAGCTCCGCCGTGGGGCCCGGCCGCCCCCTCACCCTCCATCCGCCCTCCGCTGCTCTCCTCAGAAACGCTCCGCCCCACCTACCCCCAGGCCTCCCTTCGTGCCCCAGCCCCACACAGGGCGCCCTTCGGCACTCCCTGCCCCAGGGCCACCTTTTCTCCCTCAGGGACCCCACCACAGCCCTCCCAGACACCCCCAGCCAGGCCCGTCCATCCGCACCCGGTACTTACACCGCGATCTCCCTCCAACCCTACGCAACCAGGCCCTACGCTGCCGCCATAATTCCGCCAAAAGCCCACAAGCCCCCGCGCGGGGACCGCAGACACAGCGCGGCGGAAGCGGGCGCCAGGGAGGACTTACCATAGAGAGGGCGGGCGGGACTGTCCGCCATGATGGCTACTGAGGCGGAAGCGGGGGCTCTGGCGGCAGTGCTGCCTGCCTAGGGATGGCGGCCTCCTGTCCCACACCGCCCCGTCTCCCCCTCTTCCTCCTCAGACCGGGGCCGGGCGAGCCCAGCTCTGAACAAGGAGCTTAGGGCGCCAGTTCTGCCGGCCCAGGGTTGCCCCTGGAGGAGGGCCTTGCCCTGAGGTGCTACCAGGCCGTGGCTCTGCGCTGATCCCACTCAGGCAAGGCCTCCCCACGGCGGCCTGTGCAGGCCGTGGGGCTCTGACCCGTGTGTTTGGGGGAAGACAGGGGACAGGCAGGAAGAGAGAAGGGGCCTCAGGACATACTGCAACCATAAGTGGAAGTTACTGGTGTGAACCACTGTAGGGTCTTCTCTCTTAGCCCATCAATAGGCTTGCAAGTTGCATATCTTAGAGGCTGCTTGCTTGATGTAGGAGGCTTGGAAAAGGGCAGTGGATAGTTAACGTGAAACAGCACTTCACGGCTTCTAAGTGCTCACCCTGGGTGTCAATGTGAGGGGTGCTGGAATGATGAGGGAACAGCCATGGAAGAGGGAAGGGATTAAGGAGATAGGGTTGGGATCCTTGTAGGGAAGACTTGTAAGGACAGAAACAAAGCAGCAGGATACAAAGGCAATAGCTCTCTGTCATTCCCTTTGCTCAGAGGTGTGTATTAGCAACATTAGCCTAAGCCTGGCTGTCAGTCAGCAAGCCCCCCTTCCCCTCCCCTTACAAATTGTTCCTTTACATGATGTATATTCATTGCTGTCTGTGTATATAAGCCAAAGTGTAAATGAGCATCACTCAGGCATTAAATTCCCCCTCTTAAAATGCAGCGTCTCTTGTGTTTGCTTTTGATTTCAGATGCATCTTACCAAACTTTTGTGAATCCACATGAGGGCGTGTGAAATAAAAGGTTCTCTGATGCGTCTACAGATTAAGATGGCAACATTTTCCTGAGCATGCAGTGTAGAAGAGAGCCCACAAGAGGTCCCCAAAGATGTCGCTATCCAGAGAGCTATGTTAATTACACCCTTTTGCTCACCCAGCTATGGGGGAAAGCACTTGGAAGAAGTGGGCCCTCTGTATGCAAAGAAATCGGTTATTTTAAACAACTCGTCAAAAATGTTAAGCTTCACTCAGAAGTAAATAGTAACAATAGTAAATAGTAACAATAATTACTGTGTCATTTCCTAAGAGTTACACCTTTCAGTTCCCAAGCATCCACTATTGTGTTTTCTTATCTGCGTGCCTCAGCCCGCACCCTGTGAAATGGGTTTATGATTTCTTTCAGCACAGGCAGTTTAGATTCAAGATCAAACCTGGCAGAGGAGTCTGGCTTCCCAGCTGGGCAGTTGGGAGTTCAGTATTGTCGGGCTACAGATCTCTGCAGCCTGAGATCAGTGCATCACCCTGTGATGGTGGGTGTTAGTCATAGATTATAAATCCGTGGACTTTAAATCAGGAGGAGCTGTTTTGCTAATTTGTCTGTCCTGGTGCAGCAGAATATTGTGTTTTGCTCAGTAACCTGTCCTGAGGGCAGTTCCCACTGATCAGTTGTAATATCCATCTGGCAGAAGGTATCAAGTTTTGATTAAAGACTTTGAGAATTATAGAATCACAGAATGGTTTGGGTTGGAAGGGACCTTAAAGATCATCCAGTTCCAACCCCCCTGCCATGGGCAGGGACACCTCCCACCAGAGCAGGTTGCCCAAAGCCCCATCCAGCCTGGCCTTGAACACGTCCAGGGATGGGGCATCCACAGCTTCTCTGGGCAACCTGTTCCAGTGTCTCACCACCCTCATAGTAGGAATTTCTTCCTAATATCTCATCTAAATCTCTCCTCTTTCAATTTAAAACTGTCACCCCTCGGTCCTCTCGCTACACTCCCTGATAAAGAGTCCCCCCCCGCCATCTCTCCTGTAGGCCCCCTTTAGGTACTGGAAGGCTGCTATAGAACGGAGGAGACTTCTCCTGCTGTTGGATTAGAGTAAATGGCAAGCATTCCCCATGGGGAGGATTAATTGAAGATGAGAGCTAAAAAACTAGTACAGTCCCTGCTTTGAACAGATACAATGATTCTTCAAATAACGACTGGCTTAGTGTCTTTGGACAAAATAATTCCTTACAACCCCAAGGTGTCCTCCTTCTCCCAATTTGTGTGTATCCATGTGAAGTACAAGTAGCTACGATCGTGTTTTATGGTCAAAGGTTTGGGTTCCTTAGAAGACTTGGACACTAGAGAAGGATATTGGTGGAGTGGAGGAGCCCGAGTCCAGACTCACAAAAATCCCTATTCAATCTTGTTGCAGAGGCACTTAACCTTCCCAAGACCACAACTTTGGGGTTTAAAGACCTCTAAACATACAGAGTTTTGCCTAGTCTTGAACTTGTTTGGACTTAGTTTAGGTCTAAGAAGTATAGCATCATGCTTTTACAGGGCCTAAGAGATATTTCCCCCAGCTCAAGAGCTCAGAGAGCTTTCATCCAACAGTTATTCTCAGAGCATATCCAGCACTCATGGATATCACAATCAGCCTCTCAGTCCCTCCGGGGAACATCCCATAGCCCTTTTCCCATCCCATTTCCCCAGCAGGGCTGTCGCTGCATGTGGAGAATTGTTGCCCCATCAGTCAGGCAGCTGGGGGCTGCTTTACCCCCTGCAGTGCTCCAGGCCTGGGGCAGAGTGGCTGGAGCTGCCCGGCAGAAAAGGACCTGGGGGTGTTGGTCGACTGTCAGCTGAACATGAGCCAGCAGTGTGCCCAGGTGGCCAAGAAGGCCAACAGCATCCTGGCCTGTATCAGGAACAGCGTGGCCAGCAGGAGTAGGGAGGTGGTCATCCCCCTGTACTCGGCACTGGTGAGGCCCCACCTTGAATACTGTGTCCAGTTTTGAGCCCCTTACCACAAAAAAGACATTGAGGTGCTGGAGCGGGTCCAGAGAAGGACAACGCAGCTGGTGAGGGGTCTGGAGAACAAGTCTTATGAGGAGAGGGTGAGGGAGCTGGGGTTGTTCAGTCTGGAAAAGAGGAGGCTGAGGGGAGACCTGAAAGGAGGGTGTAGAGAGGTGGGGGTCGGTCTCGTCTCCCAAGTCACAGGAGATAGGACAAGGGGAAATGGCCTCAAGTTGCACCAGGGGAGGTTCAGGTTGGATATTAGGAAAAATTTTATATGTAAAGGGTTATCAGGCATTGGAATGGGCTGCCCAGGGAAGTGGTTGAGGCACCGTCCCTGGAGGTGTTCAAAAAACAGGTTGACATAGTGTTTAGAGACATGGTTTAGTGATGGTTTTTATCAGAGTTAGGTTGATGGTTGGACTAGATGACCTTAAAGGTCCCTTCCAACCTAGACAGTTCTATGATTCTATAATGTAAATAGCCAGATAATGACAAAACCCCAGGTATTCCCCCTTCCCATGGCTGCTCTAATCACAAAACAGCTCTAAGCTGAAGATTTCTTTCTTCCTGTGCATGCTAAGCCTTGGGTCTCTTTGCACACAGTAACTGGCACCAAGGGTGCACCTTCAGTTACTCCTCTGCTGAGCAGTTTGGCTGTGGCAGCCCTTAGAAAGGTATTGTCTACTGCGTGGAAAACATGAAAAGCAGAAGTCACCACTTCCCTTGGTCATTTCCTCCAGTGATTAATTATCCCCACAGTTTAAAACTGCACCTTATTTTTAATTTCACTTGGCTTTATTCCCAACCACGGGTGCCTGTTGTGCCTTTCTCTGGTAATTTTGAAAGCCTGTTTTCTCACCAGGTATTATACTTTGTAATCTAGTCTTGCAGCTGCCTTTGGGTAAGGTAAGCAGACTGGGCTCTGCTCGTCTCTTAAAGCTGTTTCCCCCCTCCCACCAATTCTTTGAGGGTTTTTGCTTGCTCTCTATCCAATTTATCAACACCAAAACCATAGGAACTCTTTCAGCATCAGCTCCAATAATGTGAACTAGAGAGATAAAATCACTTTCTCCCCCAGCTTTCTAGATGGTTGTTTATCTATCTGAGGATCACACTGGCCTTTTCACCCACACCACCACACCGGGTGCGTGAACCTGGGTGTGTGTCCACAGTGACTCTGGAATCCTTCTCAGGGTTGTTGCTTTCTGGATTAGCAAATTCCATGCAGTCTTTGATCTGAGATGAACAAACAAGTTTGGCTGTGTTAAAGGCATCTGTCTTGAAAAGAAATCCCTCGCTGATGTCACTGGCATGACCTCTTAGTTACCAACCCAAACTCTCAGTGTAATTTTATATTTGCTTGTGGGTCGCACCAGGAGATCAATATTCCTTGATAATCTCAGTGCTCTCGGATGCAGGTGTCTCCTAAAGTCTGGTCCTTCTCTGAGGTTATTGCAACACTGCAAAATATGTTGCATCCTGAAAGAGAACAGAAACACTTATAGAAACCTTGTGCCTGTTTGGAACCTTGTTGATGTTTTTTCTCATCTACTTCTCGCCCTGTAGTGTCCTGAAGATTGCTTATGTTCCTAATGGATTTTAAAAACTCCCTCTTAGCCTTGCCAATGCAGGGATTTTTTTCCCTGGTTTCCTGTGTAATTTTTCTGCACTTTAGAGGACTTTAGAGTCCTGTATGCTCTTTGCTCTCTGGTTCCCCTTTCTTCCATCTGTAATGTTACTCTTAATTGCTGTTTTTCACCGATTGTTTCTGAATCTGGGTGGGAATTTAGTCACGGGAATTTTTTTCCTGAATTTTTGGGTCTCCCTCTGTAGATTCTGAATTTCACTGAATTTCACTGAATTTTTAGAGTTGGAAGGGACCATAGAGATCATCTAGTCCAACTCCCCTGCTGAAGCAGGATTGCCTAGAGCTTGTCAGAGCATGTTACTCAGGACTGCATCCAGGCGGGTCTTGAAAATCTCCAAAGAAGGGGACTCCACACCCTCCC